GCAAAACCCTATTTGGTCCACGTTCTATGTGATTGGAAAAGTGTTAAAAGTGAAACTTCTAACTTGCTGTGTAGTTGGCAAACTAATTGGCTATTTTATCTTCTCTTATTTGTAATTTATGGTGGCACCATTTCAGTTATCTTATTATTTTATTTATGCATACAACTATTATCATTTTATACTTTTTGTACATTTTTGACATTATGGTTACTACCAATTCTAAAAAGTAGCTATTATCGATTTTGCTTAGCTACGCCCTTTAATAATTTTTGTTCTTGTTGATACAATACTGTACCAAATGCTGAAAATTCCACACTGTATCATATGCACTGATTTGGAATCAAGGTAATCATTATTATTGTTAATAAAACCCTCCACTTAGACATTTACAAGACAAAAGTGTTCAGAGGGTAGATATTCAAGTTTTTTTTAGATTCTCGCCTATGTCTGCACTCTAATATAAACAGCATTTTACTTATTTATGGGTGATAAGTTTGTTAACAATGATCAGTCAATATCGAAATGACAAGGAGGTGACAGTTAACCAATAAAATTGATGCAGAAGTCTGAGTACTGAAATGTTTTCAAGAAAATAAACAAATGGGTTGCATATTTTGGAAAAATATAAGTAGTAAATGAGAAATTAATGAGTGCTCGAAATGATTACGCAATAAAGCATTGAAAATGAATTGAAAAACTACAACAACCAAAGTAGGAGGGGAATTTTCAGTATTTCACATCGATGTAATTATTGCTTCAACAAATGAAAACGATATACATATATGCGTTTCATAATAATTACTGAACATAATTTAAGCAGATGCTTATTTCGGTAATTTCTCACCAGGACTCACGTTTAAATAATACGATTATTAAGCATAAACGTTCATTACTAATGTGCTTAATGGAATCAAAACTCAGGCAAATGAATTAGTGCACAATAGTTAATAACAAGAATAAATGCGTGGGTGTCCATAGTCTAAGTAAACAGTCACTGTGAACCGGTGAGTAGAAAATTTACACATTGCATGAAGATGTGCATGAGTCATTTGGCTACCTTATTTTCCGTAAAGCGTTACTCCTTTTTAACTTTGTTTTAGTCTCCTGATTGCGTTCTTGAAGACCAATATGTACTCATATACACTTTTCAATAGCTTCTACTTTTGAAACTAAATAACTCGTAATTGTGATATAATGATATTCCTTGTCTTATTTTGTAGAAACAGGTCACGTAAATGCAGTGGACCAGTTGTCGAAAGATGAAAATGAACCAAACAGAAATGACTAGACACTGGACTAGTATCTTGTATTCCCCCTAAATCCCTATTTCTTGTTATAATAATAATAAACTGTTTGTCTCATTGATGCGCTTCGTGTTCTTCTATGAGTGCGTCATTAAGTCATGTCAGTTAATTGGTCCGGTTTTGCAGGTGAAGCTGCGACCATCGTCCTTATACCAGTACACTTCTAGGTGTTCCAAAATGCTTCAGGCCGTACAGTACTGAGTTAAATAATGTACTGTAGATTACCGTTATACTTCAAGATTCTGTACAAGTAGGCAAAACACTACTTCTCCTTGATAACATGCCTTCACTGCAGATTTATAAAAACATCACCTGTTTCATTGAATAAATTCAAATCGCACCCCAAATGAACAGCCAAAGTTTCCTACAATTAGACCAAAACCTGAGTTAGATCATTACATATTCCTACTTCCGTAGTGTAACTGGATTTTATATGTGGGAGGTCGTGAAATTTTCAACTCATTTTATTGTGTTTTACATCTGGAACACTGTCACATTACTTAAACATTTTCTAGAATTTACTATTTCTGTCCAAGTGAGGGCTAAACAGTTGTATACGAAACAGTATATGTTCACATGCCATAAGCATCCCAGTACGAAGCAATAACTAGAGAAAAGGTGGATGTAACGTAGTCTCAAACCTGTGAAATTGATGAAAGATACCGTATTACTCATTTTTTTTACGGCTAAGAGAAATACTTACTGGTAAGAGATCTGTATTTACCAGATGTTCAGGTATAAATCAAAAACTATTTGTCAGTTTCCAACACTAGCAGGTAAACCTGCAGCAAAATAAACAGCTGATAATTTTGTCACTCAGAGGAATGAATTATTATCTTTACTCATACAGAATGAATATATTTCAGATTGCTTCATATACACATATACACCACTTGGTATATGCTTAGCCGGTAATGAAACCTCTAAATTCGTTTTAAACAAACTTCTCCTTCGAACCTCATAAAAATTCCGTCAGCTTCCTCAGTGAATAAGGCATTATGAATAAAAACGCACTCTACAATGATGTAAGAAGTATGTGAAACGAAAGCATTACTTAACCCTCTCAGAGTGACAAAGTTATGCAGTAAGTTGCACAGAAATGAATTAGTTTAAATGTGAACTTAAATGCGAATGTCTTCTGTTACGAGTGTCAATTTATTTATCAGGAGATAAAATTCCTTGTATTATGATCTGTTCTGTCATACAATTACCCTTTTATGTTTCTGGTAAAGTTGAGCTCTCAGAGCTGGTTTAATTAACTGAGAAGCTTCCATTGTCCTTTTGGGCAATTATTTGATTTATGGAGAAATCAAGTAATTTCACTTCATATTGATTTTTGAGCAGAGGATGTATGGTGAAAGCTTCTCAGCTGTATCACCAAGTTCAACGAGCGCATACATGCCAGAATCATTTATCTGAGCTACAAACATATCTGTGATACTCTTGTACGTGAACATTGAAGTGATCACTTTTCTATTACGTGGCAAAAATAATTAGTAAATAGTGTGTCAAGGTGTGAAAATCACTACATTTTCAAGGATAATACGCAGAGGCATTGCCAAAATAAAGAATGTGTGCAATAATTAACTTTGGTTTAATGTTAGTTTATAAATTATGTAAAATACTAAGTTATGTGAGGCCATAGAAACTTAGAAATTACATAATGAGAAAAAATTGTTTCTCTGAAAAAATTAAACACAGGCATAAAACAGTGAAAGTAGCAAATTTCATGAAGGCTTAATAAACATTTAATGATGAAATATATCTGCGTATAGATTATAAGAAAATCATATATATATATATATATATATATATATATATATAAAGAAGTGGTAAACCTTTGTTCAGGTCACCATTAATCATTAGAGAACAAACTACTTAACAAATATCAGTTTTCTAATATAACAGCATAGAAATGCAAAAATACCAGCCTACTTTTAAAACTAACTAACACGCACACATGTTTTTGCAGGAGCTAGGCTGGAATCAAAATTTTAACAGACATTGTTGATAAAATATGTAGGTAGTTGCCGTACCAGCCAATTTGTTGATTTAAGACGTTTGCTTATGTGTATTTCGTTTCATATAAATAATAGACTCGTTATTGTGACTTCTGTAGGCTTTTGTTTATTAATTCTGAAATTGTGTCCAACTATTTATTATAATCGTTACATCTGAATGGAATTCGAAACTTAGATTTAGTCTGTTTTTAAAGTCTATTTTGAAGTCACCCCTACTTTCACTATTAATTATCTTTGTTTTTGAGAATATGTGACTTAAATGAGAGCATGGCTGTGATAGCTAGACAAGAAATAAGAGTAGAATTTAGTTAATCATAATGTAAATACACATACATATATGTGAACGCTAGATTAATAATATAAAGTAAAATTTAAGCTCCATAAGGTTATCTATCATCAGCTGGTGACATCGTTTAGGGATTGTTTTCATCTCTGTATCTCAGTGGAGTATTTAGACGACGTCAGAGAATTTTATTAGGTGGGAAGTATTTTTCCCGACATCGCAACTCATAGGTGGTATGTATATTTCCTATCAATCACTGAGTAAATTAAAAAGTGAAAGTATATTCCTATGTCTGGCTTTCCATGTGTAACGTGAGATTCACTCATGCTATGTCTCCACTACCTGCTATTAGTGCTACTAACACAGTTATAAGAAAAATCCTTCAACCTGAAGTTGCGCATTGTGCAATACACTCCTAGATAGTCTGCCAGAAATCATATCATCGCTGGATATTCCCCCCCCCGTCATAACTGTTGTAAAATCCCTTCAATCAATGAACCGAAGGTATATATTGAGAAATTAGTATAAAATTCATTTAGGGGAGGTTTCAGTACATTGAGGATGCAATTTAGAAATTCAGCTGTACAGGAGAGTTTACCAAACACGCTTTACCTGTAAATGAAAGTATTTACGAGCTAACGTTTGCTTTCTCTGTTTTTGTTTACTTTTAATCATCTCAGAAATCTTTTGTTATGGTATCACATCTTGTTAAATATATTGGCAGTTTGGGAAGACTCAACAACACATTTTTGATCAACGGAAATAAACGCGGAGGAAGTTAACTCTTTTAGTGGACAGAAGTTGATTTAGTCATTCAGTTTGGTAACTCATGACACGCTATAACACCACTACAGATCTCTGACTAAATCACCGACATGTCTAATCCTTTTTTACTTCTTTACAGTAAAACTTCACGAATAAGATACTTTTTGATTTCACTACAATATATTTAAAGTATTATTGTTTAATCTCGCAGATATAAAGTTCCATATCCTTTTCATATGTAAACCTACTTTTGAATGCAATACCTGAATGATCTCAAACAGAACAAATGGTCTTTTTTTCTTTTCGTCATACTATTCACAATGAATACTCTTTTCTTTAAACCATACCTGAGACTGCATGTGTACTCTCCTTCTTTCAGTAACTATTTGTATATGAAAGAAACACACATGCGTACACAAAGAAAGAAATAATCTACTACTGAATACTGATCGTATTTGTTTTTAGAAGTGTTTTACTGAAAATTTAAATCAAAGTACAATTGTTCTTGGAACTAAAGTATAGAACAAATATGTACTAAAATCTATTGATATCTCACAAGAAAACATATTGTTTGTATATACATGTTTTAAAGAAATGAATTATTTCAGCTAACAGCCAAATAGTGAAATAAAACGCATGAATTTTTCTCAGTAATAATAATAAATACATAAAGCGATTGTCCTGTGAATAATATTCACCATAGTTATGATTATATAAATAGTTCAATACACGATTGTTTTAACTACAAATCAGTATTTATTTTTCTTGACAGACTTAATCTGGCATTCATACTGATTGTATTCTTGGGCATACTAACATTTTTGTTATAATGGCAGAAAATAATGAACTCATTTATCATACATGTTATGCCTATCTAATACACCATTTGCCCATGAAGAAAAATCTTAGAATATTTGATCGTTCAACAGCTGAAAATGAAATTGAAAAGATTAAATGTGTATCACCAGTGCGTTTATGTCTTATGTTTACTGAAGATTGTCTACGCATAAAACGCTTTGGAAGAAACACAAACCGGTATAAATGGCATACACTATTTTATGAACAAATTCAATTTTATTGTTCAACTCATGATGAGAATAATTTAATCATTCTGGGAATTATTTCTCCAAGTGGTCGTAAACGTGGTTATCAATATTTATATGTTGAAAACAAAGATGATCTGCGGAAGGTAGAAGAGACACTTCATCAGATAGCTGAACATCGTTTACAGATACTAAAACAAGTTCCAGAGATAAGTCAACTTAATATCAGCAATTCGAATAATGTTTGAGAAGTAAAATAAGAAACCGATCAGTTAACTTTGGACAAATTAAATAATCCTAATTCTTTCAAGCAGGTAAAATAACAAGAGTAGAAACAATCAATCTAACTTCTAAGTAATGTAAATTGTAAAAATATGTTTAGCATATTCTGCTTGTCTAGGAAAGTTATTGATGACGAATTTATGTATTTTTTAAAGATGCAAAATAATATTAAAATAAAAAAGCTACTCCACAGCGCTCTTTAGCTAAATATTTTTCATTTTCATATATAATTAATTTAGGGATATTAAAATAAGCGCTTTAATTCAGTCTGACGACTTAAAGCAAAATAGCCCAAAACTGTTCTGTTGCAAATATTTGCTTATAAATTTGAACGTAGTGATGTGAACCTCACTGAAAGTCAGTCAAGGCTAGCCTTGTGAATTGATTAGGTAGTTGGTTGCAATTTCGGTGTTCTGATTTTCTTGTGGCTGCAAACCAAAGTTCATTTATGAGGTGTGTTTTTACCTGTACCCGCCAGTAAGGAATATGACGTTAGAATAACAGCACACAAATCATTTTTAAACTGACAGTTTAAATTATTCAATGCATATTTAGATTCATGATACTTTTTATTTGTAATTTACTTCTTGTAAATTTAGGGTTAAATGTGTTTAGGAAAACATTTTTCCAGTGTTTAGTGGAAAATTAGGAGAAACGGACTATGCTGATAGTTTCGACGGCTTCAGTTATTTTAATCACGTCTGTCTTGTGTTGGAGAAATGGATATATTTTCTAATCAATCATTTTAAATTACGCATATTAATGTTATCTGTGAAAAGGTGAAAATTGCTTCCTTACAGTATTGAATGAATTCAGAGGTTGTGAGCTTGCTGTAGGCTTTAAATATCAGAGCATACATTAAACATAAGTAACACATGTGTTATGACTGTTTCACTGAAAAATGAAATTTATGCACTAGTCATCTCAGTAAATATGCAGAAACGCAAACACTCCAACACTTAATTTCATCAAAACGTTGTATAATCCAGTAATCTGAAAGCTGAAGTTTAAATGCCTAAATTTATGCCTGACAGTGTTCACAATTCTTTTTAGCGGTTAAATGAATGACACAGATAAATATTTGGTGGATTTCCTCTTATTTAGATGCGATTCTGATAATACATTTCACTGTTCATTACAAGATACATTTATTACGCTTTATAACTTCTTACAAAACGTGAATAAACAAATAATGAGAGATGTATGTGATTCATTTATAATAAGAGTCTATTTGTAGCTAAAGCTGGGGAAGGAAGCAATTAAGTGTTCTTCTAACAATGATATAATAATAATTTGCTTTATTCCAGAAACAGTACTAGTGGTACAGTGTGGAATTTTCAGCACATATCTATAATATTTGCATCTAATTTTATCAGACATTTAAAAGGAGTATTTCAAAAAAAAAAAATATAAAGACACCAACAGCAAAAAACAGGAAAAACAAAATAATTTTTAAAAAATTACGAAAAAATACCGAGAAGTAGAAAGGAAATGAAACATCACATAATAATAACTCAGTGTTGGGTAGTGGAAGCAATGATATGATTATGCATGGTGTCAGTAAAGCTGTAGTCATACAAGAAGTTATGAAATGATATTTAAGAACGTTTATCGCCAAGGTGATCAGTTAATTTGGTTGAAACAACACTAAACAATCATAAAAATAACATTTCAGGTTGTTTTTTTTATCAGGTGTAATGCGGTGTTTGTAGTAGTAGTGTGAGTAATCCTGCATAATGCAAAATTTTTAAGGTGGTGACAGTGGCGTTCACAAACAATGATTGTCAGTTTAGTATTGCCGAAAAAAATAAAAAAATAAAAAATAAGAAAAAACAACCATAAAACTAATAATTACATGATGGTTAATGACAGGGAAATTTTGTACTACTCATAGTGCTAATATAGTCGGAACCAGTGGATACGGTAAAGTACAAAAGTAAGCCAAATGTTAATAATTTAGGTAGTTAAGTATGTTTAAGAAGGAGTTCTCTATAGAATACAGAATAAGAGAGAAATAATAGAGCCTAAAATTATGTTGTTAATAACAAAGCAAGTCATAGGTTTCACGATTAACATTGTCTCTGTCGCTTATAACACAGGCCAAGTATGGTATCGTTGAGTTCCCGTTCTTGGTTGTACGAGCATAGATTATATTATACTGATTTCTGGTTTTACTTGATGAGATACAAGGACAGAGTTGGGAATAGAGGGGGTGTTGAGGGTCGGAGAGTATGGTTTTTGACCATTTTTCGCATGTATTCAGATGCCTTTCAACTAAAGTAGTGACGAGCTGACTGACTTTTACACCACTAGTCCTACTAACTACCTTCAACATCCTTCTCAGGATGGTATAGTCCTTTTTCAGTAGCTCAGGAAAGACTAACGGGGAGCAGTAAAGTAGAATAGGTAAGATACAAGAGTCTACAAATTGTGAAAGTAGAGGTTGGGTTATTCCAGATTGTCTAAGTTTCTTAATGTAATAGGTTAAACAGAACACTTTCTTAGAAATCGTTAGGATATGAGATGTCCAAGTGAGGTCAGAAGACAGAACTAGACCGAGGTATTTTGCGTTAGACTTAGTTTCAATTTTAGTCCCCTCAATGCAACAGGCTTCATGAGAACTTACTAGTGTTTGTAGATCTCGTTTATGCCTAAGGGAGAAGTCAATAGTCTGGCATTTTGAGGGATTTAACATGAGACCATTTAGTTCAGACCACTGACTGATGTCCGACAGGAAGCTATTTAATTTGAAACAGTCTGACGGAGACTTAATGGGGAACGATACAGACAGGTCATCTGCATATTTGACGAAGTTGATTTCGTCTGATATTGATATTGATGGTAATTTAGGATTTCCCTGTAATGTGCAAGGAATTTAATGTAATTCACCAGTAAGATGAACACGAGATATATCTCCACCAGCTTATCCATCTATAGTTTGTTTTGCTTAACTCGCTTTTCAAAGTTCCTAGTAATTTCGCATTGGACTGAACTTTCTGCATATAACATGAAGTGTCACTATACAACACATTTTGTTTAATACTTTGGAGCTGCATGTTAACTAACACCACCTTACAGTTTTACGCACATCTTAAATTATTCTGTACCGATACTTAATTTTTTGATAACTTGCTGCTTACGGGAACCCAACGCAATAAATTCGTTAGCTAGGATTGAAGCAGACCTGTCACTAAATAAAACACTTATAAGTTACGAAAGGTCGGATCGGTCCTACATACTATTCTGAAAAAGTAGCAGCAGTTACATTTACAAGAAAAATAGTATTTACTATTCTTGACTCACATTTTCCTCATTTCGTAATCTTTAACTGATCAAATCGTTGTTCGTTGTACAAAACGAGTAATAGAATGGTTGAATAATGTTCGCAACTGTTAAAATTCTGAAAATGTGCGCCATTGTACTATCTACCACTGTGAATAAATTTCGTCTTAGATACTTCTTAATATTTGTTATTATCTGTTTCATTAAAAAAACAGAAAAACTTTAACTAAAACCATCAAAATATTCTGGCTTACAGAGAATGTATTTTTATATTGCAGTAGTAATTTGCTACAGAGATAACGTTTTGATGAACAGAGAGGACAAGGAAATAAACAAACAATATGAGGAAAAGAGAGGCATTCAACTAATTCTTTTTCGTTTTAATGTTAAGTTAATAAGCGATGTCAGAGTAGGCAAGAGATAGGCTCTTAAAATCTCATAAGTTGAAGCCTTTTATATCTCCAAACACCGAATCATTTTCCCTTACTGCATATTATATGGTATTTTATTCAGGAAAATATGTTCAGAATTTCTCTACTATTTCTCACATCTCACTGGAACTAGAAGTGTTTTCAAACGTTTGACTTAATTATTTCCCCTAATTTACAATCAAAAGAATTAAAGGCTTCTCTTTCTGAAAATTGGTATGAATGTCAGTCAAATAGTATTCACCACTCCGGCTTCATATTCAGGCGTTAAAGAGAATTCATTTCATTTAAAGTATTATTATGACAAGCCGGTATTCGAATAATCGGGTTGAATAATTAAATGAAACTAACTACATCGGTAAGATGAACAGAATTCTACAACATGAGGAAAAACTGCGAAAGTTATTTAGCCTCAAGGATATTACAGAAAAAATAGAATGAGAATTCTTCGAGATACTGAAAACCTCACTATCCAACCACACTTAAAATTGTGAATGTCTGTAGCTTTTGAGAACAATCATACTTGGAATATATGAGCCACCTAAATGTATTAGGCCAGACATGAGCTTTGATAGTCGAGTGATAGAAAGCAGGTCGGGATTCATCTCCTGACTGATTCACTTCCAGCTTTCTTGCTGACAGTAAGTCCGGAAAAGTGGAAATTTTGGATGTGAGATTAGTTGTTCCACCCCAAAAAATAACAATACGGCCATCGATGATTTCATGCTCAAACATAATGTCCCACTCAGAACTTAAAGTTATAGAAAATACTTTCCAAAGCTCCTGATACTACACATATCACGAAGATATGCCAAAAGCAACACGGCTGAAGGTGGCTAAGTGAGGCTTGAAGGACGCCTTCGAAACTGAGATACGATAAATGATGAGTTGATGATTGCTATGAACACACGATGAACCCACAGTTTCCTTTTAATTGGCAGACGGAAGGCAGGATAATGGGCTACTCATTCTGGAGTTTCTTGGACGAAATTTCTGTGACAAAATTAGAATAAGGTCCACTGATAAGTGTGATCTTTAATGTCTTGTCTTACTATGAGCATACGGACGATAGTTTTTAAATTTCGTCACAATAATATCAGGTATTTCACTATTTCCTATCCACAAATTTAGTTCACATGCAAAATAAAGGAAAACAATGCCTTACCATTTCTTGATGTCCTGCTAATAAGAATGCCAGATGATAATACCATGCGGATGTTTCCCGTAAGAACTCATGGACTGACCAACAGACTCTCCTGTCAATACCCTGACGTTTCGAACTACCAAAACCAGTACAATCAACAGTCTAAATGGCAAAGTAAGTATAATACAGAACTGATTATACGACAGTAGATATCTGGAGTTGTTTTTGCAAGCTTCCTTGATGGAAGTAGAAAGCACAGAAGAAATGTATGCATATGACTGTATGGTTATTGAACTACTAATACTGATACTCAGAAAAATAGTAGCTAGAACGCTATATTTAATATTCACCAGTTGTTGTGGAGTTTCCAAGGATCTGAAGGATAAACCACGGAATCTGAAAACCTGATGTTGATTTTTATACCCAACTGCTATTGTAGAGATAATTGCATAGGTATGACGATTTGGCAAGCCCACTGTCGCCTTCCTGCCTGCTGTCCAACATGGTTAGTAGTATGAATAGCAAAGTCTGTCAGGTGTCTTATACTGGTCAGAAAAGATAATGGGCTATTTACTACTGAGCGGTGTGAAAACTATATTATATAACCGGTTTTGGTAACTAGAAAGTTTCTGAAGTAGTCTGAAGGCCATAAAATGTTTCTTATCATCATACTGACAAAACCACATCGTTTAGCCTACTACGTTCAAGCAGCTGGTTAGAATTTTAGCTATATAAATGCTTAGGTGCTCTGAGAAAAATCAGTGATGGACGCAGACTGAAGGAATATAGTTTGCCCTCAACATTATTACAACCCGATAGAGCACTCCTACTGACTAATATGCTTTGGTCAGCAGTAAGTGTGGATACTTAATTGAAATATATGCAAGATTTTTAAAATGGTCACCAGAGTAAAACAATCAAGTGATAACAGTATTCGTACTACACTTATTGCATTTCTCATCAAAAGTAACCATACAAATAACGAATATTTATATACATTGGGATATTCTTATTCACCCGGTAATCAATAACTTTAAGTCTAAATTGTTTGCAACTGACAAACAGCCTCAAAATACGATGAAATATTAGAATAATAATTATTCCTAGTTTTTATTCATCAGTTCTAACGATTTTAACCTATAAACGTTCTCAGTCGATATTCATCAAATACAGACATAGAATAATGCCGCAGATTTCGTGGAACATGGCTCTGAGATTTATACATCTGTCGCTTCTTTAGAATAAAAACTGAAATGTTTCAGTATACTTTTGTTTTCACCAACCTTACATCCTTTGCATTTCCAAGCACCGATTGTCTTCAACTTATTTTGCCTTACTTTCCCTTGAATTTAGGTGAATAAACTCGGATCTTAGCACTATCACAGGTTCAGTACGTATCGAGAAAGTATTATAAAGTTTTCTTTAGCGTAGATTCAATTTTAAGCGCATATACAGGTGATCTTAAGTCCTGTGGAACTTCAATTGGTAACATAAGATTGAAAGTTTCGTTTTCATTAAACGTTAATTTCAGCAAACGAACATCAAATACCTGACTACATCAGCTATGTGGGATTCCATATTCTTTTATTTTGAAGTCCGAATGGCTCTCTATATAAATAACCCTTCCGGATATAAGTTGATTCAGCAGTATGATACCATCTGAAATTGACAAACGAAGTTAAACAATGATGTTAACTCATAACCATTATTCTTGAAAGTCCTGACATACACACCTGAATTTTTTCAAAAATAGCACAGCTAATTAGTACAATTTTTTTAAATGAATAATTAATGTTAAATAAGAAAGTTACAACTGGTGTTCGTCATCGCTGTAATCATCATCCTTCTTGACAACTCTTTCACAATATAAGAAAACAGATCCTATGTGAGAAATTTTGACACCACACACAGGGTCCGGATGAATAAATGTAACTCCAGCTGGCCAGTCACATGTTGGATATAAATCTGTTATTGCCTCACTGTCATCCAGTGATGTATTTGGACCACCGGTTCTATAGTATAACATTGGTGATTCTTCGTTTCCGTGAAATATTGGAGTAAGTAAAGGTTCATTAAGATTTTCCATTTTCTCCAACTCAACACTATGAACACTAGCTGTTTCGTTTATAACATCATTATTTGAATCATTATGGTAATGAACAAGGTCATTGTCTTCTGTATCATACAGATCATCATTACTATTCACATCATTATCAACTTCTTCTTCTTCATCGGTTGGACAACATGAAGAGACATTGGGTGCAGACCCACTACTACCACCCGATGTCATAATTCTTTGAACATCATTTCCATTTTCCACTAAATCCTTTTGAAGCATATCATTTTCTTGAAAATTTTCCCTGTCACTCACATTATCCTGTTGTGCCCAAATAACTGAACCAAGGGATCCACGTCTTGAAGATGTGTTGTCTAATGAAACCATAGATAGAGTACCGATTGGACGAACACCAACCAATTTTCGGTTATCATCATTGCAGGCTTTCAAAAGTAGTGTACGTAATTTAACAAAGGCTTCATTTTCTTTTATTTGTAAGCATTCATAGGCACGTTTCTGTCCATCTGAACTGACAATACCCAAAATTAGTATATTTTTTGCTTCTTGGACTAAATATATTCCTTCTATTTGTTGATATGATAAAAATATACGGTTATAATTTTTTGTTAACTTTTTATAAACTTTCATACGTAAGCCACTTTCAGTAACATAAATCATGCGTTCTTGTGGTTGAGTACTGCGCATTTTCACGATCAGTTTCTCTGCATCTGTTTGATTATGTGTTTTACTCGATTTCAGTTTCTTCTGAAGTAATAATTTTCCACGACATGAATGATAAATTGGTTCACTTATTTCAGAATCAGACTCATTCAGAGTTGGAAATGAACTACTCCACGAATTTTTAATAATTGATTTACGTGACATGATTTTTTTTATTGATTCACTGTCTTCGCTGTTATTGTTCTTGTTGTGTGTAATTTAAGTATACACGAAGTAAAAGAAATCAAGTGAATTGATTGCGTTATAACTGAATGTATATGGTAAGAGTGAAAACGGTAGGAAGTAGAAATGAAAGTTAATAGTCGTGATCTTTATGCTGTTGTAGATTTATTTTATTCTCGTTTTTTTTAACTTATAAGTACTAACAGTATTTGACCAATAGGTATACTTCCAGATGTGTAACAAAAGTATGCGGAAAAGTGTAGAAACCGTAGTTTTGATATCAGTGTTATCAATAGGCTGACTTTTTCTATATGTACTTTGTTATAACTTTTGTCTTTTGTTTTGATAGAAATTCCTTTTGTTTTGCTCAGTCTATCACATAATGAGAACATAAAGGAAATGATATTAAAGTAACCGACATTAAAATTATTCCGTCTCTACGGTTTTGCGTGTGTGTGCGTGTAAGTCACTGGCTATCTGTCCGCCTATCGTTCACTCACTTATCTACACGCATTAAACATTTCATTTTGACTCATGTGTGTAATGAATGAAATGAGGCCAAGAGTTTGCATTTCTCGGTGTATGTGAATTAATCAATACACCTGGTAAAATCTATTGGTGTAAGCTTTAATGATTATATCAGGTTTGACCTGTGACTTTATTGATTACTGCTTTCTGTGCATATTCAGTTTATTCTTAACAATTCTATATTTTAACACAGATAAAAATCGATCGGTGAGACAAATTATCAAGAAAGTTAAGTTGAACATACTATGTGGGCAATCAATAGTGCATAGCCTACAAGTTTTAGTAAAGTCAAATGGAATTTGTGCTATGAAAATTTAATTTATGGTAAAATTTGGGCTGGTGACTAGTCACTGTAGTTAGCAATGGTGAAATTCATAAATAGTCCTTAAATCAGATTCAAGGATGCACTTGATGTCTAATTTGGGCGTCATCATCTGGATGCAACTACACCCAAGTGAGCCGTGGCGTTCTTACTGAAATTCTAAATTAGTTCCTATCGTTTCAAACTCCAAAACTTGATCTACCAGATTACTGAGTTACGAGCCACCTTTCTCACGACTAGCATGATCTGAAATAATCTATTTATGATTGTAATTTCCCTATTCTTGAAAGTCGTCTAAGAGGTCCTTATATGTTTACAAAGCTGACCAATGTGGTCAGATATATCACTAGGAATCACAAACAGTTTCGAGCTGGGAAGCATTTCCGTGAATGACTAAGCAGTTTCAAACCGATTTCCGGTCTATTCATCAGTCACTGTAGCTTAGGGACAATAAGAAAGCAGTCAACATCTGTTTTGTCGAAAGGAAAGAAATCTAGAATCCTAACATTACAGACCAAGCTCACTGTGCACTCTGTTATTCTAATGTTTTCCTACCCAGCATTTGAACAACAACTTATTCTCCATTGGTGATTTGCTTCAAATTCTTTGGTCAGAAGTTCAATCGGGAAATCGTGGTAAGGCCCATCAAATAGGGAGCGGAGATCAATGCTCACACATGTTATTATCTGTAGCAGTGATGTATCAGTAATTGACGTAAATTGCTTTTTAAAAGGTGTCAGTTTCCGGCACACTGGTTGAATTGTCAGCATGCTTGGTTTGCAAACTAAAACTCTTATCTTACAACCCAAGTGGCTTCGTTAACTAGGACGAAGCAGTTAGTGAGCGACTCCCGCTTTTCAAGGATTCTCAAACTGACTTTTATTTATATAAAAATATGCAGTGAAACTGGTCAAAATCCTCAGATCTGAACACCTGGATGTGAATAAACTTTACTGTATTGAATATAAAAATGAATTTCTTGAAGTTTTTAAAACCAAGTAGATCTTTAAAATAGAAAGATGTAGGTTTCTTCCACATGGAAGCTTATCACGTTATGACACATTGCTGATCCTTAAGGCATTTCTAAACAAGGGAAAGCATTAAAGTATTCAAGTGAATATCACTTTAAGTGACACTGAAAGGAGCGTTTGTTACGTGGCTTAACTTTCAGAAAGTAAAGGGAAAAAAATGCAAACTTCACATCATCTTTATTCGTGCCCACGTTTGACAGCGTCTCGAAACAATGAAGTGGACAGTCTGTAGGAATTTGGTCATGTATAAATAAATCACTAGCAGATTTTCACCAGACACAGACATCCGTTATCTCAAAGCGTCATCTCATGAGCCGAACACGCATGAAGGTTTCTCGTCCCAGGATGAGCGAACCAGGGAGGGTGTAGTAGCCACTGTGATGATATTCATAACCCACATGTAAGCCAGTAAATCTGGCGTCTCAGGATAAAATCACCCACTGAAGGACCATCCCCACCATATCCAGAGACACTCTGTCCAACCTCAGGTTTATTCACATAGATGTGCCGCCGAATGAAGGCACTTTCGAGAGATAGAGATTGTGGAACACGAATCACGTCCTTAGATCAATGACATCCGCTACGGTACTAAAAGAGTGACTGCGCTACAGCTCTGCTGACCCAACTTTTGTCTGACAGACTATTATAACCGTGGTGCTAGTAGTAGCACAGCATATGACACTCTGGCTTTCAACATACCGTTAGAAGTTCAGAAAGGCTTGTTGTTCTAAGCTTGGAAGAAAAACATACTGTGGTTAGGAGTTTCGATAATCTCATCTCAGAGGAAATTTAACTATGATATAAACTTAAATCATCTCAGATACATATCACAATTTTCGAAAGTTCTTTTATGGAACTCCATTACCTGACAACACAATAAATGCAGTGTATTTTTTAATGAGGCATGCACACACAAAATTCAAAGCTTTTATTGCAGTGAATTCATTCACTGTTATTATGATGTGCTAACTGTTAATTTGCCCCTAAATAGTTTCATCTCTTTAGAAGCATTCAGATTATAGATGGGCCAATAAAGTGTGTATAACACTAGATAAATACAAATGATTATCCAATAGCCTTCAGACAGATTCGTTAATATCCTAACCATGTCAGTGAGCTATGCAATACTCACCTCTAATCGGAATAAATTACCGGCTTCGACTAACTTTGAAAATACAATGGGTGCTAATCGATAAAAGATGATAAATGATGTGTGTTTTATAATAAATAGGATTATTTGATGTAGAATGCAGTTTTAATAGCTGGATAACATTTCACAATGATAATCACTTTGAAATGATTACAAGCAATCAACAATACTGGAAGTGTCATCTACTTAACAACACTGCATCCCTGTATTATATCAGATACACTCGTCTAATATAGAGTTCTGTTCAGTTGTACAACTGAAATGTTATTTTGGAAATGTAGTAATCAGCTTTTAGATTTCTCTGTGGATTTTACAGAACGCTCGCTAATGTTCATTCGCATCAACGGTGCACTATTCGCCTTTCAAAAAAATAAGATCTGTAATTTGAAGAACGATACTGAATTTTTTCTCAGAACAGACAATATTTAGGTCAAAATCAGTATTTTTAGGTCACTTTTTAAATAAAATTTATAATACTGTCCATGAGCTTTCGTGACCCTTTCGTGCATATTATTTTACAGAGTACAGACTATGTAAGATTTTGAAGAAGTTTAGATTTCCTGGCCCCTTTAGTAATCAATAAACGAATGTGGATGACATTATAATATTTAATCTTAACTTGCCTTCTGATGATAGTATAAACTGGTTAGCGAGCAAAGAAAAGTTAAAACTGTGGTTTGATTTTCATAAAATTAAGAAATATAATTTTCTTCTAATGATCAGTGCATCCATTTGTTCAAAACATGCCTGGCTTCAAATGTAGGAGACCTATAGAAGGATGACTTAAGTTATTTTTGGAGCTCATAAAGGTAATGGTAACCCCGAAAAAACAAATGCCGATGGTTCACGTTTATGATGCTGTTGTCATTTCAGTCGCATTCTATTCGAATCCTCACAACCAAAAACATTCAGTAAAAATGATGTCAGCTCATGATGAAATTCTGTAATTAATGAATAAAATCCCTACAAACCAATACTTGAATAAAAATGAGATTGTTATCCAAATGGTACAAAATGCACAGCCTATAAGTGGTAAATATTTTTATCAAACTCTGTTACAACATCTGACTTACTACTGTAGACTAGTCAGTTAAATTAGTAGCTTAGCAACGATAAATAACTGCAATGACGGTTAGCAAAGATTTTATCCCCTTAAAAACACGGATAGGATATTTAATGTTAAACAGAATGACCAGAAAACATGTAAGGTGAAATCCTCCATCTGAAGAATGCAGTATGTGATTCCAAAGAGTCTTCTCGGCAATATGAAACTCATCACAACACAGATAAGTGTTAACAGGAGGGTTTGTTCATATGGTCCTAATGGTTTTTATTCAATATATTCAAAATTCATTGCTCTTTATAGGGCTGACTGAAAACTCCTATTATTTATATTCAAGTGTTGGTTTGTAGGGATTTGATTGGTTACGGGATATTCACCATGAGCTGACATTAGTTAGGGAACCACTGGAAAACCTGGGAGTACTGGACAGCTGTTTCGTCCTAGTTTGGGACTCTTCAGTTGTACGCACCGACCGGGATTCGAATTGGCAGAAGTTAGAATTCATGGGCCATTGGGTTGGGCCCCAGTGGCTTAATGGTATACGAGCTCACCTTGTAACCTGAAGGTCATGGGTTCGAATCCTATTGTTTATCTATCTACTTATTTTCATCCTACTGATTTCCCATAGTTTTCAAACTTAACCAACAGAGAATAGATGTGATAAATTATTGAATATGTTTCTTTGTTAGTACAGGCTTTATTTCATTCATTTGAGATAATCAGATGACCAGTGATGATGTGTGACTGACTGCTTGGCTGAAATGCGACATATCTATGCGGAAAACTAAAGCATAATCTAGAATTATTTCATTCTGCCACCAAACCCGCCAAAAATATACACCTATTCAGCTCTAAGTAAAAAGATCCTATCCTTCTTTTTTATATTAT